TCCTGGGCCAGGCCATCTCCCGGGCCTGGGTGTTGCGGGCTTAAACCCCGTCGGAAACCTCCGTTCCCAGCCCGGGCCATGCGCCCTGGTGACTGGGACGGCCCCGGGCCCGCTCCATCAGGCGGGCTGGGAAGTCTCAGCCCCTAGCCCTGTCCTCCGGTCTTTGAGGAGAGCAGCCTCGGGAGCAGGGGTGTAGGTGGCTACCAGGCACTGACCCGCTGCCACACTCCCCTCTGGACTCGCTCCTCCCTCCAGCGCCTCCCCCCCGCCCGTTACCCACTCCTCGTGGGTGCGCGCTCAGCGCCGCAGATGCGTCCCCAGAAGCGCCGGGGCCTCGGCAGCACCTGCTCCCCCCTCTGGTAGTCTCCTGCCCCCCAGGATTCCCAGATATTACCCGGTTTGCCCGGGATGGGGTGTGGGGCGTCTGCACAAACCCAGCTGTCTCTTCCTCATCAGCCCACACTTGTGACTTTGACCCACAGCAAGCGCTGGTCACTGCCCTGCTCTGGCCTTTCCAGCGCACACTACCCCCCCACTGGGCCACGGGGTTTAAGCCCCGACCCTGAACCGACTGACCCCTGACCTCAGTGCCTGCATCCTCCCAGGACCAGCCAGGGCTGTTTTTCGTCCTTCTGTGTTGAGGACATGAGGGGTGGGGGGCGGGGTCGGAGTGCTCCCTGGCCGGAATCCCAGGCATGCCCCACCCCCACTGGGGGAGTTCGCAGGAACCAGGCTGTGTCAATCGCCTGTGGCCTCTGATCCTGCCCCCACGCCATGACCTTCTGCTACCTTCTCTGGTTTCACAAAAACATCCCTCCTCCCACTTCATAACCCTCAGGGCTCCCCCAAAACGTCTGGAAGCCCCCTGCCCCACTCATTTGAGTCCTGGGGCAAGCTAGGGAGCCCCTCCATGCCTTCTTTGGTCAGTGCCTACTTATCCTGGAGGCCCCTCCCCCAGCTCCAGGTCTGCAAGTCCCCCAGCTGACCTGCATGGAAATTAGTGGGTCCTGGCTGAGCTATGAGCGCCCAAACAGCCATACGTTCTGCCAGGGCCAGCATGGGGCAGAGCACGTGCTGGGTGCCAGTCCAGCAAGCGACAGGAGTAGCAGAGTCCGGGTGGCTCCAAGCTCCCGTGTCTGGCGTGGCTGGGCATGTGGGCTGTGGGAGGGAAGCCTGGAGGGGAAGGGTGAGTGGGGGGACCTGGGGGAGGTGGGCAGCCCCCTGCTGCATCCCCGACTCTCTGAGACCTGACAGAGAGCTCAGTCACCTGGTCCACGAAGGCGGGGTTGGGTCCCTGGTTGTGCCAGGAGGATAAAGTGGAAGACAGCCAGGCCCAGAGCTACAGTCAATTGGAGTCCTGGGGTGGCACCTCCACATCTGGCTGCCTCTTGTTTCAGGGTTTCAGTACACTCATTCATTCAACATATATTTATCCTACACCAACCGACTACCTCTGGGGTGTCAGTGTCTTTCCCGTGGTGGGGGTGGGGCTGGACATGAGAACATTGATCTTCCCTTCAAGCGGCAAAGCCCTTTTCCTCTTGTGTTAGTGGGATACTCCGGGCAAGGAGGCGGGATTCCCTCTTGGGAGGTTAAATCATTTGCCCTTGGTCACTGGCCGGGTGCGGTGGCTCACGCCTATAATCCCAGCACTTTGGGAGGTCGAGGCAAGAGGATTGCCTGAGTCCAGGAGCTCAAGACCTGGGCAACTTGACGAGACCTCATCTCTACAATAAATCAAAAATTACCTGGGTGTAGCCTGTGGCTCCAGCTTCTTGGAAAGCTGAGGCAGAAGGATCACCTGAGCCCAGCAGGTCAAGGCTGCGGTGGTCATGAGCGTGCCACTGCACTCCAGCCTGGGCAACAGAGTGAGACTCCGACTCAACAAAAAAGAAAATTTAACAATAACATTTGCCCTTGGTCCCCATCCAGATCAGGGCTCCAGGATGTCTGTCCTCTGGATGGCTCATTCCTGGGTGCCCCAGGCAGGAGCCCAGAACCTCAGCCCTTTACACAGCTGAAAACCAGCCTCCACACCCCACTCCACTCACCCCCATTCAGAGAAGTGTCTAGAAAGCCCTTGTCCACACTGCAAGGGACAAAAGATGCCCCACCTTTCTTTCAGAGATCCAGTGGGGACTTGCCCTCCTCCACCCATCTCTTGTATTCTGAGGAAGGCCTGAGGCCCTGACCCCCAGGGACCTGGAGCTAAAGGTGCCTTGATAAGGCTCCCAGCCTGTGGCCTGTGGGCACTGAGCTATGGAGGGACTCCTCCAGGACTCCCAGGCCACCTTCCCAACCTTCTGCTGGAGTAGAGGTGGGGGACATGAAGAGCCCCCTCCCCCCTTTCCTGCCCTCTTCTGAGTCTTGGCTGCCATGAAAATAGGTCTGGGGAGCAGCAAAAGAGGAACCTCTGCCCCGGGCTCTGCTCCTCTCTGGGGTCCCCACATTGACCCCAGCCAGAAGGCAGGGCTCTAGGCAGGGAACAACTTATCAGCCAGTGTCCTTCCTCCCCGCCTGCTGTGTCTCCCTGGTCCACCCTGCTCCAGCCACCCCCGTCACTCTCCTCCTCCTTCCCAGATTCTCAGTCCTCCCCTACACCCCCAGCCTGTCCATCCCGCCTCCTCTCCCAGGGCCTCTCAGGGATGGGTGCAGAAGCATCTCTGGATGGGTCAGGCACAGTGGCGAGAAGCTGCTCCTGGCAGCTCCTTACTCAGCCCAGCTCATGGCCTGAGCGCCAAGGGCAGCAGCAGCAGATGGGGCTGTTTGATCAGAATCAGGAACGATAAGGCCCCTAGGATGACCCCAGGCTGGGGACGCCTGGACTGCCCCTCCTCCCGCACCTGTCTGCGGCCTTCTCCCCCAGAGAACCCCCTGCTCTGTGGGCTATCCACCCCAATGCAGCCTCCTCACCTGGTTCCAAGATTGGGGACCAGCAACACCTGCATCCTGCCTCCCACCAGGCCCTGCATGAGATCGGGACCCAAGAGCTGGGGTCGAGAGCCCCATGGCAAGCTGTGATGCAGGTGCCTGCCCCAGCGCCTCAGCTGTCAACCTGCGCAGGGCATCTCAGGCCCTGCTGGGGGTGTGAGGTGCAGGGGAGTCCAGGCAGAGCTGGCCCCACGAGGGCTCAGTGGAACTGACAGGAATAGACTGAATCCAGGAGTGTCTCTCCCAGAAGCCTCTGCCTTCAGCCTCATCTGAGCTCTCTCCTGCTCCTCTTCTCCGTCTTCTCTCCCTGGTTTTTCCCTGGCACTGCCTTCCAGCCAACCAGCTGTCTGTCCTGCATCTGTCCGCTCGTCTTACTCCATTCAAGGATGCCCAGAAGAAGGGCCCATCACAGCCTGGGGGGAGGGGTCACAGCAAGTGGCTAGTGCGGCCCTGAGAAAAGCCCCAAGGGAAGACCCTCCTTGCTTCTCCCATGGAATTCAGTTGGAGCAAAAATGGGCTCCGTGAGCAGTGAGAGACTGCCGTGTGAGGCTGCTGCTGCCCCAGCTCTGATGCTGGCTCTGGCTGGGGACCAGCACTGTGACTCTCCAGGCTTGGCAGACACTGAGAGGGCAGCAGTGCCCCTGGTCTGAGCCGGCAGCCAGCAGTGCTAATCTCAAAGGAATGTGCTGCCAGCCAGCCCGTGGTGCCCCATGGGACCCAAGAAGCCCAGTCTGAGCCTTGCATGGGGCCCATGGGGACACCTGCACACCCCAGTGCTGGGAAGGGACATGCATAGGATACACACCTGGCCCCAGCATGACTGCAAGCTGGCCTGGACCACCTTGCTCACCGTGGCACCTGGGACTGAGTGATGGATGAGCTGGCACCACCACCCCCACACTCAGAGTGCTGGGTTAGGTCAGCCTGGCAGGCCAACTTTCCCAGGAACTAAGAATAGGTAGGCGAGCCGGGCTCGGCGGCTCAGCCTGTAATCCCGCGCCTTTGGGAGGCTGAGGTGAGTGGATGGCCTGAGCCCATGGGTTCAAGATCCGCCGGGAGAGGCGAGACCTCATCTCTACAATAAAAAATCAAAAAATCAGTCAGGCGTGGTAGCGCATGCCTGTAATTCTGGCTACTCGGAAGGATCGCCGGAGCCCAGCAGGTCGAGGCTGCGGTGGCCGGGAGCGGCCACTGCACTCCAGTCTGGGCGACAGAGTGAGACTCCAACTCAAAAAAAAAAAAAAAGAATAGGTAGGCGGATGGTGAGGGTGAGGCTCAGTTGGGGACCGCTAGGCTGAGGGAGGAGGTTGGCAGCTGGCAAGGCTACCCCCCTTCAAGAGCTTTGTGTGACCAAGCAGGAAGGTGGGGTGGCTGCCACCAGCACAGAGGGGAGAGACAACCCAGGTGGTGGGAAAGCCAACTTCACCAAGGGAGACAGTACAGCCCCCATAACTCTGGATGAGACCTCCTGGTGTGTGGAGGCTGGCCAGGCCACCCAACTCCACATGGGCAAAGAGCAACCTCCCAGCTGCCTCTTCATCCATAGGACTGTGAGGCTCAGGGGGTAGTTTTTGGGGAGCCGGACACCCCACTGGTCAGGACTGTCCAGACCCTGCTGCTCTGCCACTCAGCAGCCACGGAGAAGTGAGCACACCCACCAGGACCCGTCATCCCAGACCTGCAGCCCCTGCCCGATGTGGGGGGCAGAGACCCAGAGGCATGCCCCTGGCCTGGCCACATCACGCCCCCCTGCTGCTGCTGCTCCTGGCCTACCAGGTGAGGGTTTGCTGTACCCCACCTGGCAGGGAACTCTTCTGTGCTGATCGCCGTGCTGACTGGCTCTCTTTGTCTGTCTGTCTGTCTGCTCGTGCATCTGTCCCCCAGCCACAGGCCTCCTCTGCTCAGGTGATGGACTTCCTGTTTGAGAAGTGGAAGCTCTATAGTGACCAGTGTCTTCACAACCTGAGCCTGCTGCCACCCCCCACTGGTGAGCGCCCCCAGGGCCATCTAGCTTCCAGCCTGGGCCTGGCCTGTGCAGCACTTCCTAGGCTCTCGTCCTTGGTGCTTCCTGGGTGCTTAGGTGACCCTTGAAGCAACCTGCTGGGGGGGAGGCTTGTCACTCCCCAGGCCTCTACCCCCGTTTACAGGAGAGATGACTCTGAGGCACAGAGAGGCTAGTGACTTGTCCAAGGCTACACAGCCAGAAATGGTAGAATTGCCCCCCAGAATTGACTGTTTCTGACGTCTTCATGCCCAGATCTGGTGACACCATCTTTGTCTCTACAGAGCTCACAGTGGGCAGTGTGTGGGGGGAGGTGGGATGTAGAGGGCTGGCAAAGCACACAGGCCTGGAGAGGGCTCAATGACCGAGTGTGTGATTTGGACACTCTGGGAGATGGGGGAGCCATACAACTGTGCAGAAAAGGAGGGTGGCCTGTGCTGGGCAGAAGGGGGCCAGGTGTGGGAGCCACAGGGAAGGATGCCGTTGGATTCAGGGTTCAGCCCCCAGAGAGGGCTGCCAGACGATCACTGGGGAGAGGGGGCCCCTGGTGTTTGTTTGGAGCAGGTTTGAGAGGGGAGATCTCTAAGGGAAGGTGCCCTGGTGGACCTGGAGCTCAGAACTGGACTGCACTGGGCAGGGCTGGGGTGGGCGTGGTTGTCCCAGGAGAGGCAGATGGTCAGGACATCCTGGTCCTAGGCCCAGGTAGGGAAGCAGCAGTTAGGGCTGCATGCCTGGGGAGGAGATGACAGGCTCGGGGGGTTTCCAGAAGGAGGGAGAGAGGTCTGCTGAGGGAGACCTGGGCCCCTGCCCTGCAGAGCTGGTCTGCAACAGAACCTTCGACAAGTATTCCTGCTGGCCCGACACCCCCCCCAACACTACGGCCAACATCTCCTGCCCCTGGTACCTGCCTTGGCACCACAAAGGTAACCATAGCGGGAAGGGGCAGGGGGAGGGGATAGGGGTGGGGCTGACCCAAGCCTGCCTCAACCCTCAGTGCAACACCGCCTCGTGTTCAAGAGGTGCGGGCCTGATGGGCAGTGGGTGCGCGGGCCCCGGGGGCAGCCGTGGCGCAATGCCTCCCAGTGCCAGATGGACAACGAGGAGATTGAGTTCCAGGTCAGCCTGTGGGGGGCAGATACGATGGGGCTATGTGGGGATGGGTGCGGCAGCCCCCGCCCCGCCCTGACCGGCCACTGTGACTTGCAGAAGGAGGTGGCCAAGCTGTACAGCAACTTCCAGGTGATGTACACAGTGGGCTACAGCCTGTCCCTGGGAGCCCTGCTCCTCGCCTTGGTTGTCCTGCTGGGCATAAGGTAGGCTGCCTGTCAGCACCCGGGGCTGCCCGCAGTGGGCACGATGGGGGCAGGCGGACACTCACTCACCGTCCCTGCAGCAAGCTGCACTGCACCCGAAACTACATCCACGTGAACCTCTTCGTGTCCTTCGTGCTGAAGGCCAGCTCTGTGCTGGTCATCGACAGGCTACTCAAGACCCGCTACAGCCAGAAGATCGGCGATGACCTCAGTGTGGGCGTCTGGCTCAGTGACGGGGTGAGTGCCCACCCGTGGGCAAGCCCGGTCTGGCCCCAGGCGGGCAGGTGACCGTGTGACCCCCGCTCACACTGCACCCTGTGCTAGGCGGTGGCCGGCTGCCGTGTGGCCGCGGTGTTCATGCAGTATGGCATCGTGGCCAACTACTGCTGGCTGCTGGTAGAGGGCGTGTACCTGCACAGCCTGCTGGGCCTCGCCACCTTCCCCGAGAGGAGCTTCTTCCCCCTGTACCTGGGCATCGGCTGGGGTGAGTGGGCTGCCACAGTGGGGGGCAGGTCAGCCAAGGCCTCCGGATCACGGCCACTGTCCCCCTGCAGGTGCCCCCATGCTGTTTGTCATCCCTTGGGCGGTCGTCAAGTGTCTGTTCGAGAATGTCCAGTGAGTATGAGCCGAATGAGGAATGCCTTGGCCAGCAGAGGGAGGGATTCTGGGGGTGTCAGGGAGCCGAGGTCTGAGGGACCCTGTGGGGATTGGGGAGCTAGGATCTGGAAGCTCGGGCCAGAGGCCGTGAGAGGCTGTAGCCAGCCTGGTGCGTGGGGAGGAGGCTGTACTCAACCTTCTCCCTTCCTTTCCTGAGGCACTAATTAGATCCTGAAGAATCAAGGTGGGGGGCTGAGGGGCTGGGATGAGCTGTGTGCTCCCTGGTGTGAGCAGTCCACCCTTGCAGGTGCTGGACCAGCAATGACAACATGGACTTCTGGTGGATTCTGCGCTTCCCGGTCTTCCTGGCCCTCGTGGTGAGGAAATGAGGCGCCTGCTGTCACAAGGAGGATTGCTGACACTGGCGGGTGGCTTCCCCAGGCCCCGCCTTCCTCGGCGGCCTTAAGCTGCCCCTCGAGACAGACAGCATCCTGCCTGGGAGGACAGAGAGGGAGGCCTCGGCACCCCGCCAGCTACTGGCCAGCACCTGGGAAGCGGGCCAGGTTGCCCTTCCTTGGCTGGGCAGATGGGCCCTGGGCTCCTCCTCCTTGTGGCCCCAGGCCCATCTGGCTGCCAGGCCCACCTGCGGGAGAGACAGGCGGGGCCATTCAAGGACACAGAGCTGCTCCCTGGAGTTCTGGAGCTGCCCTTGACCTGGGCCCTCCTCACACAGATCAATTTCTTCATCTTTGTCCGCATCATTCTCCTTCTCGTGGCCAAGCTTCGAGCTCGCCAGATGCACTACACCGACTACAAGTTCCGGTGAGTGGGGGTGGTGGGAACTGGCACCTGGCAGACCTAGAGACCCTTGAGAGCCAGAGGGTGGCTGGGGTGGTGGGGACATGGAGGGCCATAGGGGCAGAGTGGGAATGAGGGACAGGACCACTGAGGTTCCTGGGGGAGGTGGGGCCAGGGGGCAGGGCCAGTTGGTGGCTCAGGCTCTGCCCTTGCAGGCTGGCCAAGTCCACCTTGACCCTCATCCCCCTGCTGGGGGTCCACGAAGTGGTCTTCGCCTTCGTGACCGATGAACACGCCCAGGGCACTCTGCGCTTCGCCAAGCTCTTCTTTGACCTCTTCCTCAGCTCCTTCCAGGTGCCTTCCCACCCGTGGCCCCCCGACTCCTGGCCCGGGGAGTTGTCCCTGACCACTCTCTCTCTCCAGGGCCTGCTGGTGGCTGTTCTCTACTGCTTCCTCAACAAGGAGGTAGGTGGGAAGGGAGCTCCGAGACCATCAGCCCTGGCCCTCGGGGTCAGATTTAGAGACAGGCACATGGATGCTAGGCCCACCCCTGCCCAGGGGCTTGAGCACACGAGGGGGAGGCCATTCCCTCCCCCTGCATATTGGGTGCGGTTGCCATGGTGCTGGGTGTCAGGCCCCAGGATGGGTTAACCTCAGCCCTGTCCTCAGGGAGTGCACAGGCAGTGGGAGGGGGAGTCCCCAGGTGTCTGCAGATCACAGCCTTCCTTGGGTGGGTGGATGGCACCACTGTGCCCAGCATGGAGCTTGTGTCACCCTGCGCCCCTCGAGTTGAGGCTGGGCATCTCGGGCAAGGTCCACAGCGGGGTCATCTGGAGAGAGGATGGGCAGGCCCTACTACTGGCCTGCCCCA